CTATAATTTGTTTGTAAAAGCGTACCATCAATCCGCTTAGAGTTTTCATCTTTCACTACTTTCAAATTCACTTCAGCTGGTGTGATTGTAGCATTATAATCAACCATTCCAAACCTCTTCAACACTTCTATGATGTACCTTCCTTGATGAAGAAAGATACTACTATGACAATGCACAAACTCCATACCTAGAAAGTAGGATAGAGTCTCCAAGTCTGTCATTTCAAACTCAGAATTCATAGTGAACTTGAATCTATCAATTTCAACAATATTAGAACCAGTGACCAATAGGTCATCAACATAGAGACAAACTATCAACAATTTGGCATTGCTGCTCTTTCTCGCATAAACACCATACTCCATTCGAGATTTTTTGAAACCAAGTCGCAACAAATAAGAGTCAATTCTTTTATTCCAAGCTCTAGGAGCCTCCCTCAATCCATACAATGCCTTCTTTAACTAGTATACCTTCCTCTTTGCCTCTCAGAGTAAAACTAGGTGGTTGTTCTATATATTCCAACGCTCCAATGAGAAAAGCAGATTTACATCTAGCTAGAAGGACCTCCATCCTCTTGAAACAGCAGCTGCAACTACTAGCCTTATTGTTGCTAGTCTAACTACTAGTGCAAATACATCATGATAATCAACACAAGCTTTTTGTAGAAAAACTTTTGCCACTAACTTGGTCTTGTATCTTAACATTGATCCATCAAGAAGCGATTTCACTTTGAACACCCATTTGACTGCAATGGTTTGCTTCTTTGGAGGCAAATCCACCAATTCCCAAGTCTAATTTTTCTCTATGGCTTGCAATTCTTCTTTCATAGCTCTTCTCCAAACTTCACTGTTCAATGCTCCAAGTGCTAGATGAACCAAATCTCCTTCCTCATTTACTGCATTATTAAAGAACCTCACATAATCACCAAGTCTGACATTTTCAGATCTAGTTGTTTGAGACCTTCTGTTAGACACTGCATGAGTTGTTTTTTCAATTAAGTTCATTGTATAACTCATCCTCCAGTTCATCAATTAGAGGCAAATCATCTGAAACTCTAACATTTTCTTCAACAACTTTCCACTTCCAACTTTCATTCTCAATACAAGTGACATCTCTACTCACAACTACTTTTTTAGTATCAAGGTTGTACTGCTTGTACCCACCAGTTGAGTGACAACCAACCAGTAGCATTTGTTGAGCTTTGTCATCCAGTTTCTTTCTCTTTTGATCTAGAAGATGCACATAACAAAGTGAACCAAATATCCTGAAATGATCAACACTAGGCTTCTTCCCAGACCACTTCTCTTCAGGTGTCATGCCACTAAGCTTCTTGGTAGGACATTTATTTAAAATATAAGTTGTAGTCACTGTAGCTTCACCCCAAAATTTTGATGGAACTGACTTCCCTTTCAGCATGCTTCTCACCATGTTAAGTAGTGACCTATTCCTCCTTTCAGCAAGCCCATTATGTTGAGGAGTATATGGAGGTGTAACCACATGTATGATACCATTTTTCACTGCAAAAATCTTCAAACTTAGCAGATGTAAACTCTCCACCTCCATCAATTCTTAGGAACTTGACACACTTATTACTTTCCTTCTCTACCTGCTTCTTCCACTTTTGAAACACTATGAAAGCAACACTCTTCCTTTCAATGACAAATACCCAAATTTTCCTTGTGAACTCATCAACAAAAGATATGAAGTACTTGCAACCACCTATTGTAAGTAACTCAATTGGCCCACAAATATATGAGTAGATGACCTCCATTGGACAAACTGCTCTATGGAATGTAGTAGATTTGAAAGGCTTCCTTGGTTGTTTACTTATAACACATTCTTCACACAGTGCTGTAGGTATCTAAAGTTCAAATGACCATATCTTTTGGTGCCATAACCACCTCACATCATCCACTGAAGTTGCAAGACAATTAGAGGCTTGCCTTGAAAGTCCTATTCTTGGCGAGCTGAGCCTTCAAGACAAGTCTATGTTGTTGATCATACAAATTCAATCCAACATCATTAACTTTGAATGAAAACCCTTTTTCAACTAATTGTTCGACACCGGAGACACCTAATTCGTCTAGGGCATACAATCAAGCTTCTATTATAAAAAAAAAATAAAAAAAATAAAAAAAAAGAGCTCCCAAAGCATAGAAACTACATGATATGACATCGGAGGCCCAAAGCCTAATAAGGGTGATTTAGAGCCCGGAACGGACCGTTCCCAAACCGGAACGGGACGTTCCAAACTACTAAAAAGGCCTAGAAATCCTAGTTTAAAACGGCCGTTCCAACATAGATTTTTATGAGTAAATTTCAAACATGGAACGGGGCGTTTTGATTATGAACGGAGCGTTCCGTATAAAATATTTACTCTTAACGGATTGGATCAAAACGGCCCGTTCCGTTCCGGAACGGGCCGTTCTGGCCATTTCTACTGTCTATAAATAACTTCCGTTTCCAAGGTTCGAAAAATTAGTCCAAAACTCCTTGCAGCTCGAAATTTCTCTTTCTCTCTTTTCTTGTATTTTTTGAGACTTTGTTAAGAACATCGTATCTAAAAGTCTCAATACGTGGAGATTTAATAAAGCTTGGACAAGAGGTATTTTAGTTAACATTTCTTTCTCTTTTTATTTTTTTATTTTTTTAAATATTGTTATAATAAAAGTAATCATGTAAATATTTTAGGGTAAATCGTGATTAAATATTTAAACTTTTAATTCTTGTCATGCTTTCTTCATCATAGAGTATCGATTTAGGGCGTTATATGGATGCTCAATACCTTCTTTATATGTAACCTTTATACGTAACCGACCCCCGAACTCAATTTTGGATATCAAATTCATTATTGGATTTTCAAAAACTTTTTTATGGCAACTCTTACGAACTATTTTTTTAAAATTATTAATTAAAGATTAGTCTAATTTCCTGACATTCCTTAATTGATGAAATTTTCAATTGGAAGTGTAAATTATTAGTGGTAAGATTGAAAATATTCAAGTTACAGCAGACACTTAACAAATTATTCTTCATAGAGGGAATGTACAAGACATAGTGTTACCTCTTTTCCAAGTCTTTTAGTTATGACAAAATTATTATCAACAAATCTAACCTTATTCCTGATGCTTGAATCAAGACCACTGAGCCATTCCTTATATGGAACACCCTGTGTCAATGTACCAAGAGTCATCCTCAGATTCTGATCCTGTAGTAGCCATAAGCATAATATTCTTAAACTCTGAGCTTTCTTCCTCTACTACTACATGTGCCTCATCATTTCCCTACTTGCCTTTGCTTGACCAACACTCATCAACAAAGTGTCCATGTTTACCACAATTATAACACTCAATTTTGGACTTATCAATTTTTTTCTTTCCTTTTCCCTTCCACATTTGTTTTCCACCACCCTTCTTTGAAGTTTCAGCATCATCACCATCAGAATGGCTATTATTAGAGGTATTGCCTCTGCCACCACCCTTGTGATACTGTACTTTCTCTTTACCTTCCACGTTTCTTGCCACCATCTCTCTTGAAGCCAACCTTGGCTTGCAAGGCATGGTTAGACTCTTGTTGTTGGTCTCTTTCAACCAAACGTTGTTCATGTGCCTCAAGAGTTCCTTGCAACTCCTCCACCATCATTATTGAGAGATCTTTGGATTCTTCAATAGTTACAGCTATGTAATCAAACTTTGCATTCAAAGGCCGCATATTTTCTCCAACATTAACTAATTTGAAAGAGTAGCACCACATGCTTTCATTTGATTCACAAGAACTTGCATTCTTGAAAAGTAATCTGTGATCTTCTCATTGTTTTCCATTTGGAGCAACTCAAATTTTCGTGTAAATGACTAGAACTTCACTTTTTTTAACTTGTCATCATCAGAACAAGCTTTAGCCAAGGCATCCCACACAACTTTTGAGGTTTCAGCGAAAGCAATCTTCTCAATGTGAGAAAGAATAAAACCTTACAATCTTTTTTTTTGTTCTCCTTGAAAGTCTATCTCTGGACTTCAGTTTCGAGTTCAACAAGTGGCGCATAACCATTCTTAATAATATCAAGAATGTCCTAGAAACCAAACAAAGCATTCATCTAAACACTCCATTTGTCCCAATTCTTACTATCAAGAACTAACAAATTTCTAAGACTGTGACCATCGAGACTTGTCATATTGGTCGCTATAAAACTCGAATTATACCCTCCTAAAAAAATGCTTTTTGAATCTTTGCCCTAAGATCTTGAAGCTCTGATATCAATTTGTTAGGGATGCAAAGGTCGGAGAAAATGAAAAAAAACAAAAAAAAAGTAAAAGAGAAATTATATATATATTTATATACAAAAGTGTTTATGTTTTTATATAGGTTAATTTTCCTTTTTCTAAAAAAACATATGAATTAAGCATATACTAACTCAATATCAATATGCGCAACCAACAAAATCATGTCAAATAAATGAAAAAAAAATGTCAAAACTTCAATGTTCATCTTATGTACTCCACGTCGGGCTAAATATGCATTCAAAGTTCAAATTTCTAATATTTTAGCCGTTTGGCTTCGTGAATAATTATGACGTACCTAATTGAAAAAGCAATTCTATTTACATGGCCTCACAATTAAATCAATATCATCTCAAATGAGATCCAAACACATGGTAAAAGTAAAATTAAACCAATATTTAAATAATTGTCCTCGTTGAACTTGAGAAGTATTACTACTTTTTATGTGTTCACTATACGATAAAAATTAAGAATATATTTAAATAAATTTCTATAAAATTACTTACAAGAAAGAAGAATTTAAAAAGAAAAGAATGAAATTAATAGTTTTATAAATGAAATTAATTTATACTTTGTTAATTTGTGAAAATTATCACATATTAATTTTTTAAAAAACTTATTTTTAACCCATCCATTAACAAAGTTTAATTAATAAGTAAACTTATTTTTATATATTTAACATTATTTTATTTTATTTTAAATAGTTTCTTCGTCTTCTCTCTTTCAGGAACCAAAAGATGTGGTGAGAGGCACTTGGCAGCAGCTGCAAAATTTCAATCACATTCACAGCCCCACTTCCACCGCAAACCTCGTACTTTCTTCTCTATCCTCAACTCTATGATTCCTCGATCTTCCATCTGTCTTACCACCGTTTCAAAAAAATTCACTAAAAAAACCGCTCTCTTTTCTTCTTCTTCTTCTTCTCTAATCACCCTTCAGGATTCTCACTCCAAACCCCCTTTGAGTCCCTTTTACAATCTTCTCCCCCCTACCCACAACCCCAACAACATCGTAAACCTTATCTCTTCCACCCTCAAACAAAAAACTTCCTGCCTTTCACTTCAAAATGACATCAAAGCGATTCTCCCGCACTTGGGTCCCCACGAAATTTCAAGGGTCTTGCTCAGATCCCAGTCTGATCACTCTTCAGCCCTCACCTTCTTCAATTGGGTCAAAAATGACTTGAACATCACACCCTCTCTGCATAACTATTGTGTAATTGTTCACATACTTGCTTGGTCTAGGGTATTCTCTCAGGCCATGAAGTTGTTGTCTGAGTTGATACAATTGGTTGAGGTTGAGGGTGTTTCCCCAAATGAGGACATTTATGAGAGCCTTGTGGGGTGCACTGAGGATTGTAATTGGAACCCTGTGATCTTTGATATGCTTATCAAGGCTTATGTGAAGGTTGGCATGGTTGAGAAGGGTTTGGTAACTTTTAGGAGGAACATCGAGGCTTGTTTTATCCCCAATGTGATTGCTTGCAATTGTTTGTTGAGTGGGTTGTCTAGGCTTAATTATATTGCTCAATGTTGGGAGGTTTATGATAAAATGGGAAGACTTGGAATACATAGGAATGCTTATACTTTCAACATTATGACCCATGTTTTGTGCAAAGACGGGGATACCGATAAGGTGAACGGATTCTTGGAGAAGATGGAGGAGGAAGGGTTTGAGCCTGACTTGGTCACGTATAACACCCTTGTTAATAGCTATTGTAAGAAAAGAAGGTTGGAGGATGCGTTTTATCTGTACAAGATCATGTACATTAGAGGTGTGATGCCTAATTTGATTACACACACAGCGTTGATGAATGGTCTTTGTGAAGAAGGAAAGGTCAAGGAGGCTCATCGACTTTTTCATGAGATGGTTCACCGAGGGATAGATCCGGATGTTGTGTCTTATAATACTCTTGTGTCTGGTTATTGTAGAGAAGGAAAGATGCAAATGTGTAGATCATTGTTGCATGAAATGATAGGAAATGGGATTTGTCCTGACGCGGTCACATGTCGGGTTATAGTTGAAGGATATGCTAGGGAAGGAAAGCTGTTGTCTTCCTTGAATGTTGTTGCGGAGCTTAAGAGATTTGGAATTAAGATTCCTGAGGATGTATATGATTATCTTGTAGTTGCATTGTGTAGTGAAGGTCGACCGTTTGCTGCTAGAAGTTTTCTGCTAAGGATATCTCAGGATGGCTATATACCTCAAGTGAATACTTACAATAAACTGGTTGAGACACTATGTGAATTCAATAATGTGGAAGAGGCGTTGATTTTGAAATGTGATATGGTGAAGAAGAGCATGAAGCTGAATCTTGCTTCCTATAGAGCTGTTATAAGCTACTTGTGTCGAGTAAACAGGACTTCGGAGGCTGAAGGATTGTTGGAGGAAATGGTTACTTCAGGTATTCAACCTGATGTAGAGACGAGCAGAGCATTAATAAATGGGTATTGTGAGGAAAATAAGGTTGATAAAGCTGTGTCATTATTGAAAATCTTTGCAAAGGAATTTAAAATTTACGATACTGAAAGCTACAATGCAATTGTTAAAGTATTTTGTGAGGTTGGTAATATAGACGAGTTGATGGAACTTCAGGATAAGCTACTCAAGGTGGGGTATGTTCCAAATAAATTAACATGCAAGTATGTGATCCATGGATTGCAGAAAGCCATGGAACTTGATGATGATGAGATGTTGGGCCACAATATGCTTAAAGTCTAACATTGTCCTTATATTAGGACTATATCCAAATTCTCTCCTACCCAATTACATGGGCATGGCATATGAGGATAGTCTAGAAGGAAATTGAAGATTGCTACTACACACACTGGGGCTAAAATCAGAGTTTTAAATGGATTCTTCTTCCAAATCAAGATAAAGAAATTGGTAATATCATGGCTTCCATATAAACATTGCCGTTCACTAGTTGAAATACAGGGGGAATCCGATATTATTTTAAGTAATTAGTTTCTAAAGCTGCACGTCACACTAGGCATTGGTTTTTTCAAATTGTAAGTAATTAGTTTTTTTAAATTCTTTATAATGTACAAAATTTGATTGTGAATGTAATCATTGCATGATTTAATTTGGAAATAAAAGAATGGAATGGGTTATTTTGCTGACATTATCAGTACCACAGAGAGCCTCAAACAAGAGCTTGAAACTACTACACAAAGATAAGAGATTGTAGCATGTTTCTTACGTGATTATCAGCTCTCCCATGAAGAGGTTTAAATCACTGATCTTTGTCTTGAACTATGTCTTTGTGAATTAAATGAGATACTTGTGTTATGTTCTTGCTTATGATTAGTTTTGATCATCTGTAGATAAATACACTTAGAGAAGAAGCACTGAATGAAAACTTTTTCAAGGCATTATCTCATGTCCAAGAGATTCGTGCCAAATGCAAACTGTTACTTTGGACACATCATCAGGTAATCTTCTTCTTGTCACTCTATATTATGTATGCAACTGTAAACCTGTTGTCTGCAATCTGAATTCAAAATGCTTATATAATTTTGAGTTTATTTTGGAATACTCTTTATCCTCTTGGTTCTTTCTGTGGTCCTAATTATAAGTAAACCCTAAACCCTAAAATTATTAGCAAGTCATTAGTTTTCAAAGTGATTCAATAAATTTCTTTTATTCTCTTAATTTATTGTTAACCCTATTTTCTATGCATTATCTTATAACTAACATTAAATATAACAATCACTTAAAACGAATGGTATCTTTAAAATAAAATTTGAATTTTTGGTAAATTAATTAAAAATAATCAAATTAATTACTTTTCTTGATTTTGACGATTTATCCTATATTTATACTTAGGACTTGAGGTAGTATTTTCTATCCTTGACTTAAAGTGGTAAGCGTTTTTGTAATTTGCTGTTGCTGCAAAGTCGGTAATAATGATACAAAGATGATTGTGGAAAAAGATTGACATAAAATCTAGAATTTAGTTCATTTATGGAGATATTTGTATAATGAGTGTAGCAAACAAGGAGGTGCATATCTGTGGGAGAAGAATGAAAGTTTCCTGGATGCATAAGATCTGTATTCTTATAAATAATTTAACGTAGTTAGTCGTTAATCAACCCTTGTTCTGGTTGGATGAGTTTTAAAGATTCCCATTATTGACAACCCAAAATGCACGGTAAGGTGTTGTATGATTAAATAAAATGACAAATATTATTCACTTTTATATTTATCTTTTCTAAGCTCCATTTCTTCATGTCAATAATTGTTGTACGCTGTTACAATTTTCACTTAATAGTGATATTTTTCTGGAAGGTTTGCTCCACATACATTGCTGCTACTTTATCAGTTTAAAATAAAAGTGCAATTTTTATTAAATTGGGGAATTTCATTGCAGCGTGCTGGATTAGAGCTGATGGATATGTTGGCTGTGTTTCAAGACGGAGCTTATGAGCTGGACTCTACTTAAGCCTATGCTCCCGAATAAATGAAGATTTTCATCTACACTTGAACATAGGCTTAAGTAGATGAATCCTACATAGACTTTAGTGCCTATTTAGGTGAAGATTCACCTACTTAAGCCTCACATGGCTAGACTCTAGAGCATGTATTGTATTTTGTCTGTGAATTACTACAAGCATGAACTGGGGTTTTAGTCACTATGCATAGTTGATATAAATGTGAAAGATAGACATTTTCAAATGCGGCCATCTTCCATATTAATAGAGATGTTTCGGAGTCTAATGCGTATTATATTGCTCCATCTTATGATGAGTATGTGGACCTCATATCAATAATAAGATCAAAAGAAAATGCTTGTGGTCAAATAGAAACTTGGGTTGTCTTTATCATCCTTTGCTTGTGCATCAATCATCATAAATTATTGATATACTAATTTTGCAGGTAGCCAATATGAGACAATGCACTATTTAGAAGATTTATAAGTGCTCTTACAAGTGAAGGATCTGGTGGATTGCCTCGACCAATTGAAGTACAAGTTTATGATCACTCCGATATGTCGGTGATATGCTAGGCTGGTTGCATCAGGTGTGACATGAAATCCTAGCGGATGAATGCTTGAATCTTATTCTGAATGCTATTTTTCTGCTATGGCTTATTTATTCATATTTTTCTGTATGTATGCAGACCTTGACGTCATATGTTGATCAAATTCAAAGCAATTCTCCTACTACTCCGAGAATGATTAGGAGTGTGAAAAAAAAAATTCAAATCAACCCAACATTTATAACGCTCCTTAATTGAAATAACACTCGATCATGATGGCTGTCGTATGAAAATCGACACAACTTCTTTCCGTATACAAATTCTTTATATTTTAATGGTGTCAGTTATTAATTATTTCCAAATAAATATAAGTAAAAGGAAATTAACCATTGAAACTTTTATTTATGATATCTAATTGTTTGTTCCGTGTACGTTAAATAAAATGTATTTTACGTATTGTACGAGTATTTTATAATTAGAAATGTATAGCAGCTTAAATTTAAGAGAAAATGATAAATTTTTTAAATAATTATTATAGATAATTAAATTTTGGGATGAAAATGAAAATTTTAAAATGAAAAATTGTTAAAAAGAATGATCATTGTCAATATCCCAAGTTTGATTTTCAATATTTAAAAATATGGAATAAATTTTCCTCTTAAAATGATCATTCAAAATTTTAATTTAGAAATTAAGGTGTTAATTATTTTTTTTAAGTTTTAACTTAAAAATTAAGGGATTAATTAATTTAGAACAAGTTAATTGATCAATGAATATAACAAAAAAAAAAAGTTGGGAATTCACCTAAAAATTATGTTATGATCTTTAATTGCCTCTCGATCTCAACCACCGATTAGCCAACAATAAAATGACAAGTGAATTGAGCAGACAGGAAATTCTATTCCTAGTTCACATATTTAAAGCATAATTATTTGCGAAGCCATATATGTTCGTTAGTGAGGCCAAGGCTCAACAGATTACAATATCCTCCATTTCAATGGTAGAGCCCAGCATTATTATAAGATTTAAACTTTTTTGAACCTAAAGAAGCTCCTATTCCTAGGTTAAAAAAAACTTGTTAAATCTAGAGTCGATGGTGGAAAATATATTTTCTTGAGCCCAAAAACTAACCTACCATATAGGTTAAAAAATAAACTTTTTACAATACATTGATACTCTGATTCCAAATTTTGTCATGTTACATAAAAATTAAATTAATACCCTTGCAACGGTTTAGAAGAATGGCCATTTTCCACACATTCTTCCCATTTATTTTAATATTCAGATAATGATAAGTTGAAGGATACTTGGACCGAAGTTTTTTATTCTATCAAAAATTATAAATAAGTAAACTTTTTTGTAATTTTAAATAACCTTCATTGAAAAGTGTTGCAGAATATTTTAAAGGAAAATACCAACATTATATTAAAATTTGATAATGACATTAAAAGCTTCATTTAAGTTTCCTTATTTCACTTTTTTATCCCACAAATGACTTCATTGGTATTAAACGGCTAGAAATAACTAGTATCCATAATCGTTAACCGTGAGTCCAATCATATTAGCAAATGCTTCTTTTCTAACTTTTGACGATGTGTAAAATCTAACTAGCCAAAAATAAACATACGTATAATTTACAGCTAACTTGAGCTAGTTTGGGTAAATGGAAGCTGTGTGCAAAATTTAAAAGCATCTAACCGAGACCCGATGGCTGAAGAAATTCGCTTGCCAAGAAAAACCTTTGAAGTTAACCTCGTCTGCATCTAATAACTGTAAAAATTACATTAATGTAAGTGATAAATTAAAAGGCTCAATGGATTAAAACTCAAGCTAAAATTACAACAAAAACATATAACTAGTGCTTCGTGCCCCCTCATCCTTTGAGAACGTATATCTCTGTAAAAAAATTTGTATTCTTTCGTTTTTTTTTTAAACAGAACCATACATAGTTTGGTAAAGTAAGCCTTATTGTGCGGCTTGATGCCAACCAAGTAGAAACAAATCGTTGTTTTGATTAATGTATTAGTATGTAACAGTCAACGTTTACATTAGTTTGTAAAACTTAAGCGTATATGGTGAGACGCGGGAAGAAAGAAGAATTTGTGGCAAATAAAAAGAAAATGAGGAATTAAATAATGACACTAACAAAAATGATGTGGCGAGATATGATAGAAAAGAAGATGATAACTTAGGAGTCAACGCCACAATCGCTTCAAGCTTTTTACATAAAAAATAGATGGCTATTAATGAGTTTGTGTTAGCATGTGCCTAAATGAGATTGATCAAGGAATTAAAATATAAATAAAATGGTACTCCACATATATCATATGGACACTCGTTACGTCAAAATTCAATTCGTATTAATTTAAAAGGTATAAAAAATAATGAAAACTTAAAATAATAATAATTTTTATTCAACAATTTTCATATATTACTCAGTTTCACTTTGAAGTGTATAGAAGCAAATTAAAAGAATAGGGAGAAATGAAACAAGAAACAAGAAACATCTGAAGGATAGTGGAATCAACTAAGTGACTAACCGCTTCAATTATATTTTTACTGTAACTACAGACATAAAGGGAAAGGGGTTTCCAAATGTTTGTTATGTAACCGTCCAATGGCTTTTAACATAATTTTGAGCTTCAAAACTTTTATCCTAGAAGTGAACTACCCAAGCTGAGAAACATCATGACGCACCATTCAACTAATGCCACCAAATACAGGAGGCAGCCAAAAAGAAGGAAATTTACAAGTCTCGTCTCGAACATTAAAAAAGGAACATGGAATAATAAATTTTCAGTAATTGAAAAGAAAAGAAAAATAGGCCCCTGAAAATTAGAGTTTTATAGATTTAAAATTTTACCTTGCTGTACAAATCTGACCATTAGTAGATCCTCCTCAACAGACATTGCCGTCAGGTGATTGTTTAGGAGAGGAAACTTGCCTTGTGGTACATTGGGGATCTTCACTTGGCTCCATTTCCATAAGCTCCAAACCATTATTAGTTTCAGAATTTTTATGCTCACCATCTGACACAATTGCTTCTTGGTTCACAGAGCTTCCCAATTTTTCTTCAGAATGGTCATCTGAATCTAAGGGCTCCTTGGGAGCAGATAGTGAACGTTCTCTACTACCAGTGGCATTACTAGAACTAGAAGGTGTCAGCCACATGAATTTCAGATTCTGGTCTTTCCAGCATTTACCATTAGTAAATGCCTTCTCAGCTGCCCAACGAGTAGTGAAAGTTAAATGTGCCTCTTGTTGGCTACTATCGTTGACTTGAACGTCTTCTAGCTCTACGGTGGAGAGTTCACCGTATGGTGAGAAGTGTTCCTTCAAAACAGCAACCTAAAATAAAAGACAGAAATTTAGTTGAGCAACAATAGAATAAGACAAAACAGACTGCCAAATTTAGTAATGGTACATTGATGAATCTAAAGACAACATGACACAAGTTTTATTGTGTAATTTTTTCCATTAAAAAACAATTTTAGAGTAGAATATATTTCACTTGGGTTTCTACAGGGTTTGAAAAGATGAGACCAGCAAACAATGTAGATTCATGCAATGCAAAAGATTCAACTTATCTAATTGTTCTCATAGTATCTTAAATAAAAGTAGACCATAGTAGCTCGTATGGATCATCACAACTTAACATGCATACCACAGTACATCGTAAGTTACATTAGTTGATTTTCCTCAACAACACTTTGTTGATAATGTGGAAAACAAGAAGGTGGAATGAAAAGTAAGAGAACGCAAAAGCTATTGACTGAGATCTTAAACAACATAGAGAATGCTGACCCCTTACCCTCTATTTATGCTAGTAACACAACTTACCGATGAAGTTTAAAGCCTTTGAGTGAAGAAGCGATTGTGTTAACCTTCTATTTATGCAAGTACTATAACTAATAAATGAAACTTATACCCATTAATTGAAATTCATTCCAATCAACTAATATTTTTAACCATAAGAAATATTTAACAGTAGTTCATACTTATGGTGTCCTGGGAGCAATTGCATGATGCCATGGCTTGGTAAAAAACAAATGATCAAATACTAATTAATACCATTTTCTCAATGGTGTATAAACAATTTATGTTGCCTTTCTTCCAAATTTGAAGGAATTTAAAGCTTGCTAGACAGTGTAACAGAGTTTGCTAAAACCTCAAGTCACCTCTCATTTTTCTCCACCTATTTCCTTAAATCAAGTCAAAGAACCAGACAAAGAGTAATGAGATTTTTTATCTACCAAGAGTTATTGCTAGTGGTGTCAAGTTAAAAGTCAGCATTAGGTTTTCGAGACTGAGTATTCGGGCTATGCATGTGTTTTTGTACTGCATGGTACTGGTCTGTGTTTAGTGTTTTTTATTCACCCAGTCTCAGCCATTTTTTAGCTGTTTTTTATTTTTTTTTTTGCTATTTGGTGTTATTTTCTTTTTGGATGTTAATATTTGTTAGAACACACACTTCATGTAACACGTTAAACAAGTGTGTGCATCACGTTAAATGCATTTAGTTTCAATAGGATTTGGTATTTTGGAAGTAGCACCCATTTACTCTTTTGTCCTAGGAGCAAATAATTCCCACTTAAAAGTCCATATACATAAATGTTATGCACAACCTAAGCACTCTCCAATCAATCAATTTCACTTGAACAATACTACCCTATCTCTATTTCTTTCTTTCCTCTCCCTCTAAACAATTTTGCTTGAGCAATGCCTACGGACATGACTGAGATTATTTGTAACTGAGATCAGTACTTCTTCTAAGCTCAAGTAGAAAACTTAAAACTTTGGCTGGTAGAAGATAAAATTAATTTATTCCTGGCCATACCTTATTCCCAGGGAAAAAAGATTCCTAGCTGAGCTTTTAATCCCATGAGCTAGGCTGGGCAAGTTGGATTCCCAAGGAAATGATAATTTGGTGCAAAATATTGTATTATCCATGTTTCCACTATTTCATGTATCTAATTTTCATGAAGTAAAACTATTTTGAGCATATATATTTGCACAGATAAAAGAAAAAAGGAGTTTTGACAACAGCTTTTTGACACACTCCTAACACACTTTATTATTAGTTAAAATTTACTGAAAACTACAAAATTAGGAGAGAAAATTATTAAATATAAATATAAGATGGGTCCATAAAAAATTATCATTCCCAATATATTTCAACCAATAGTAGAAAATGTGTTCAAAAGAGTGTTAGAAGGTGTATTCCTAACATTTCTATGCAAGTCTAAGCATAAGGTACTAAGGTGCGGAAAAAACCTTCTTAGTATGATTTACTTAAATGAACTGAACTAAACTGGTAGTGAATTGAACTGTTTTTAAAATAAATAAAAAAACTGAACTAAACTATTTATATACATGAATAAAAATTAGAGGTGTCAAAAAT